TTTTTCTCAAAAAGGTTTTTTTCTAAAATATATCTATTTGGTGGTAGGCTAACATGTATAGTAATGTATCTCACAATATAAACATTAATTATGTAACATTTTACTCAATTAATAAAGATTATGAGAAATGCCTCACTTAATACTAAAAAAAAAAAAATTAATAAAATTAATATACAACAAAATTTTTAATTAAAAATAATTATTTAAATAACAATAACAATATAATTTATAAACTGGTTATAAGTAAAAGTAATTTTATAGTATTCCTGTATTTATATTAAAATTTTTATTTAATTTAAATAAGTTTTAACTGAGTCATATATATTGAGAAAAATTCCAAATAATTTTGAGTACCACTATATATCAACTAAGTTGACTCAGTTGACCCCTGCATAACTTGATCGACTGACTTGATTCAGTTCAAATCACTACTCGCAAGGCCTAATGCAGTTATACAAGAATAACACATTATTTACTTCTTACATTAGAAATTTATCTTAGTTTATGATGGTGTAAATTCTACATAAATTTCGAACAAGTTGTTTGAACTCAATAATCATGTATCAAACTATCAATATTAATAATTTAAATATGCCTATCTCTAGCGTAACGAAACTTTGTTTTTTTTTTTAATACTTCCTGAATCGATAATTAAATCTATGTTGCTAAGCACTTAATGAGATTCTTTATGTCAAACAGGATTCTACAAAGAATAATCCTTCCATTCTGAAAATCAGATGTATAACTTCTTGATTTCAAAGCTAGTTTGATGCTTAAATTTAGATTATTATGTGAAGTAAAAAATTTTAATATTACAAATACATTTGATGAAACGCTAGATTTTTTTATAAAACCCCCAGTGCTCTCTTTTGTAAGGAGTTATTTTAATACAGACCAGTCAGCATGAGTAATTATTTCTTAAATTATTTCAATCACTATTTTCCATCGAAATGGAAAATAACAAAGATAGACTGAAAATTCGAAATAAAACAAGTTCCAACCTATTTAATTTATCTTTAAAAAAATAAGGGTTGATGTTCTTATATGCAAATATGTTGCATTAATATAAAAACTTTATTGTTCAATATTGTTATAAAAATAAAGGATAAAGGATACTCATCTAATAAAAAAAAACAAAATCCCAAAAATTTCTTCGTGATTGAATCAATAATTTTGATTACATTTAATTTATCAATCCACTGTTTCTGTATATAACAAGAATATTAGCCGGGGACAGTAGTCTGTACAGGTGCAATATTGCATAAACTGTTGGATGAACCACATGACCATCCTGTTCGCGGGTCACGCAAGCTAAGACAAATGAAACTTTACATTGAAATATATTAAGAATTAGTTTAGAGTTTACTGTTTTTGTATTTTTATACTGCAGAGGTAATAAATACCAGAATTGTTGACCGCAAGGACATGGCATATGTTTGCAGTTCCGGTCATGTTCGATAATTGTACCACATTCAGGACATGCGCGAAACGACGGTACTCCAGATACATCTCCTATTTTCTAAAATAATAATCATAATTTATTACTGTTAAATTAAATAACTATAAAAGAAGCTATCAACGAAATATCTCACCTTTGTTACTGCATTTTTGAGAATGGATAGACGTGAATATACACCTTCACAGAAATTATTATTACAACTTGAATCTTTCACTTCATGCAAGCAGTACCAACAGAATGCGAATTCTTTGGCTCCCCGCATCTTTGAGCATATCTAACAGATTACTGATGTCTGATTTTTATCACTTCTTTCATAGTATGTTGAACACTACCGATGGTACTTATAATCAACAAAAGTTCAGACAAAAAACTCGAATTTTGATTGTTGCCTCACCTGAGGACATTCACGAACTCCGAGAACGCGAAAAGAATAACTTTCACTAATTTTGAACTCAAAATATTTACGCTCGTCGTCTGTAAGCAGACCTAACCTACGAATATCATCATATTTCCATTCCACATTACAACGAACATTATTTGTCGCTTTATAAATATAACGAATTGTAAAAAGCGTTATTGATGAAATCAAATGCAAACGTATCGGTTACTCACGGTAAATATATGGACAAAAAAATTGAAATTTTCCTTCGCTAACGAGTGATCTGCAATAATCGGTCAGCGATTTGGGACCAATAGCGTGGCCACATGGCATCTGAAAGTGTTCAAGATATTAAAGTTGCTACCTTAGTCGTTAACTGTAAAGGAATATCTATTACCTTTGCACGTAAGTCATCTAAGTCGTCCTCAAAACTATAGGTAAAAATATCATTTAGTCGGCTAGATAAATGATCGAGTAACTGAGTAATTACGTGATCATGTCCGGCTCGTTAGTCAACTCAACATCATCATTGGGACCATAACGTTTCTCGCCACCCGGGAGTCTAAAATACAAATTGTTAGGATATAGCAATTTCACAAAAAAATCCGCGATGCAGTAAAATTTACTAATATTTTCAATAAATAAAAGCCTTCTTCCTACCTAATGACTAAATGAAGTGTAGACATTCCTGTTATATTGTAGTGCCCCACTGTATTTTGATCTTCGAGTTGTTTCCCGGCAAAAATAAGACGTTGTTCACTAGCTTTTATACCTATCTTCTCTTCCACCATTTTCTTTATTTTCTTAATCCTAGAGATAATAAAAGGAAATTTTTTAGTATTGTACCAGGCTTAACTGTTTTCATTCTCGTTTCACTAACTATCTTTACCTAGTCTGTGGAGTAATATCATTATATGTAGTTGTCTCTCCTTTGAGGCCTCTAACAAATATTTGAAACCCCATTTTCATGTCAGAATAAAGTACTGTTTTCTGTAAGAAATTCTGTTTTGAGAACTTTATATAAGTTACTGCGATAAATTCTGATGATTTTGATTTGGTTTTTTTAGTTGAAAAAAATTATATTGATGTAATAATTACCTGAAGTTAATAACACGAGAGTTTCCTGGAAACGACAAACAAGTAAAATAAGTTGCTAATATATTCATGTGATGATAATAATTTCGGCTTTTAGACTACTGTATAGACTTTTCACACGTATGGCCATATCATAGCTAATTAGATTACGACTATCTTAGACTTGTTCCTAAAGTATTGTGTATTGCAGTATAGATACAGTATATTAATTAAATAATTAAACGAATAATAAATATTTTTCATAGTTTATGCTTCTTGTTACTACCTTTACGAGAATACGAGTGGGGACTAAAATAGTATACAACAATATTATATGAAGTGTACAAATGGAAATAATCAATTCTCAACCTCATTATTTTTGTTGTTTTATTTTCTATATTTCTTTTTAATTGATTGATTGATTAATTTTTTTTATTTATACAGTATATAAAAAATATAATATAGATATTAATAAGGGGAAGAAGAAAATTTAAATTAAAACTAATAAAAATATCAAGCTTAGATAATTTTTCTTGTTCAACAAAATGTTATACTTGTACAAATTTATAAATTATATATGTATACAGTATATATATTATTTGTTTCTTCTTGTTAACTTATCTGAATTCGACTCAAAAGTATTTCAGGATCAAACAATTTTATCTTTAATACTTATATTAATATCATAATGATATTTTTTTTAATTAAAAGTTTTAAATTATTAATTATTATAAAAATTAGATTTAAAAAAACTTGAATAATGATATCAAAGTTTATATAATTTATCAAATTATAAATAATAATATCAAGTTTATATAATTTAACAAAGTATAAATAATTCAAAGTATTTATTTATTTTACAATATATAGTATGTTGCAAAAAAAAATGACAAAAACTTTTTTATAATTAAGATTTTTACAATTATTAAATAAGTATTTATTTAAAAAATTAAAAAATTATATTTTAAAAGATATAAATTCAATTGAAATTTTTAATTGACAATTTATTATATTGTAACGGTGTAACGGCGAGTCAGTCGCTAACTCTAGCAGAGATTCGCGTAACCGTTACTGTGGTAATTAAATGAATGGGTGATTTTAGGCGTGTTTGTATTTGACCGAGTCTTTATTAATTTCTCACTTCTATGTTCACTACTT